CCCCCCCCCCCCTCTCTCTCGTGTCGTGCCCCCCAAAAATGCAGTCCTCGACGGCAGCGCTCCCGTTCTACCCAGTAATGGTGATCGTGGCGATGTTCGTCTTCATCGTCTTCCCCATGACGGTGATCGGAGCCATCATCGGCCGCAACACTACCTCTGACTTCCAGGCCCCATGCAGGACCACCCGCGTTCCTCGCCAGGTTTGGCCGTTTCATTTTAGCTACTTGTTTTCGGGGTGATCGTGAGCTGTTGGCGTTGTTGTGCGGAAAGCCTCGTTTTTTTTTGTTTTTTCAACGCCAGGGTAGAGCACGCTTGTAATGATGAAGAGGTCTTCGCAGGGGGAGGGGGGGGTGTCCCTGGCGCCAACGCGGGATTTCCTAACGTAATCAGCATTTTCCTTTCTCTTGTCTTGGGCATGAATGAGATTTCGTCAAAGATCAGTGGGTAGCCACGTTTTCTTGTCTTAGGAGTCTTGGATGCTTGGGCGCTCCGTTTTTGTTGCCATCAGAACGTCCGCAAGTGCTCTGGTTACTCTGCCACACAACCCCCAACCGCTCTCTTTTTGGGAATAGCGGCTACACGTAACTGTTCGATTTTTGACGATGGAATGCTGTTACCGTCAAGGGAAAAATAATCCCGCGTGGTTGTTCCGTCCCGTCTGTCGGTGGCGTTCATGGAACAGGTTCCCAAGGACGTTCCGTGGTACCGCCGGGACGCCTCCCAGATGGTGATGTCGGGCTTCTTGCCGTTCAGCGCGATCTACATCGAGCTGCACTACATTTTCGCCAGCGTGTGGGGGCACCAGATCTACACGTTGTTCGGCATCCTTATCTTGGCGTTCCTCCTACTGCTCGTTGTGTGCAGCTTCATCACGGTGAGAAGAGAGCAGCACGGGAAATTTGCTGTGGTTGTCATGGTCGTGCCTGTGGTTGTCATGGCCGCGCCTGTGGTTGTCATGGCCGCGCTTGTTTCTCTTGCGGGTGTTGTTGTTGTTGTTGTTGTGTGGGGTCCACACGGCGCAAGCGCTTGCTTTTCTCCGCAGCACACGCATGCAGCCCCCAGAGCGGGAATGGTCACATGGTTGACGCTGGTGTACATCAAGCCATGGTCGCGGACCCTCTACATTCAGGGCGGGTATGTGCCCAGGCCTATTCAATCGCCCAATCACGGGCACGCGCCCGCTCGATTCAAAAGTGACAAGCTGGCGTGATTGGTCTTGTGTGTGCCCAGAGTTTTCGCCCGCCCTATACCGGCCACCTGCCCAATAGAGGGACCCACTTTTAGAGGGACCCCGCACAATAAAGAGCTCACGACTGTATGCCAAGGCTACCGCCGGGTCAGGTTGGGAGGGGGCGTACTCATGCTTTGCATGCCCTAGTTGTTCGACCGTTGACCTCGCGCCCTCGAGAGGACGGAGCAGAGGGTGAGCTTTTGTTTTGCGGCGGATTCTTCCCGTGCCATCTAATCTGTCGTCGCTCGTAGACTACTGGCTGGTTGTCCTGCCGTTGTTGTCGATGTACACCCGCCTCCTCACTTTACTGCCCGACTTTCAACCATCGCGGTGCCCCACCAATAAAATCGTGTTGTCCCGCATGCACAGGTGTCCCTGATCTACTTCCAGCTGGGGCGAGAGGACCACCGCTGGTGGTGGCGGAGCTTTTTTTCGGGAGGCTCTACGGGACTGTTCGTCTACGCCTACTCGTTCTTCTACTTCTTCAACCGCTCACAGATGGACGGCCTTTTGCAGGTACAGTGCCGCAAGCACCAAGTAAAAATGTGTCTGGCACCGTTGTGCTGGTGTTGCTATAACTGCCGTTGTTGTTGTCGGTGTGTAGCGCTTGCCGCTAGTGCGTGCACTCTTTCTAGTGTCTCTTTTCCCCGCCTTTCTTTTCGTTGGCCAAAGACCGCTGATGGTGAGGGTGTGCGTTCGCCGAGCGGGCGTTGTCTCGGACGTTTTTTTTTCCGATGACACCCTGTCACACGTACTTCCAAAAATGATGCTCCCTGGTTTACTCGTGATTCATGGGGTTGTCTTCATCAGAGTCGGACCGAAGGATCAGCTTGGCATTATTTAGCACACTAGTTGCTTCAATTCGAGATGCCATCTGGTTTCCGTAGCGAATATTTTCTTCTTTCCTCGCTGTCGCCCCTCTTGCGAGTTTTCGTGTTTTTCCCTTTTTTGTCTGGTCGGCGGTCCACGTCACACGCGTATCTGAGACGCATTCTCTTGGATCGATTGCCCTGGTTCCTCGCGCGCGCACCCGCAGTCTTCTTTCTACTTCGGGTACATGGCCGTGATCAGCTACGCGTTCTTCATCATGCTCGGGTTTGTCGGCTTCGTCTCCTCGCTCACCTTCGTGAAGCACATCTACAGCGTCCTTAAGTGTGACTGAGCCGCCAAAGCCAAGGCCTTGCCTCAAGCGTCGCTCACACCGACGGGAGGGGGCATTCTTCCGGACAAGCGACAAAAACCCCGTCTTAGCGTCTTGTTTCTGTCACTGCTGTTTTCGATGTTTTCTGATGTTACCTATTTTTTTTGTTAGATTGCGGTACCCTGCCTACATAAAGGAAGAATTGCCGCGGCATCTTGTATATTTGTTGCGGCATGATTCGTTGGTAAAATTCGGTGCGCTATAGGCTGGGTGGGCCGTCCGCCCTCCCTTGTGCTCAGTCACGGTCTGCGGCTTTCCCTTTCCCCACCATAAGTGTGGTGGGCATGGAGACTTGCGGTCCTCCGCAGCGGGGATGCACGATTTCACAGCGCGTGGATTCGGAGTGTTGATGATGCGGCATATCTCTGTTGTTCTTCGTCGCGGCTTGAAATGACGGGGGACGCACGGGCTGCATCGTTGTGGTAGCGGCCGCGGTTAGCTTGTAGAGTGGGAGGTGATCGCGACTGATGACCGCTGGGTCGAGCAAGGAGGCTCGCGTACACAATGACACAGGAGGCGGGGTAAGGTTGGTTGTAAGCCGCTGAGTTGCCGCTCGTCCTCTTGATGTACGGGAGGTGCGTGGTCCAAGCCACGGAACAGTGAATCAGCTCGAAAATTCTGGATTCCAATAGAACACGTATCATTGGCATGAAGTAGTTGCTGCGCGTGTGTATCTGTCGCTCGTCGTGCCGTGGGCTGTCTGGCTGTCGTGTCTTGTGTTTCTGGGCGCAAGTCTGTTCCTGTCCTACACCCTTGATGCCGACGTCGAAGCTTTCAAACTTGCACTCCCTGCACCATTTATTCTTCCTGAGGCCGGCTGCTTCAGCGATGTCTTTTTTTGTTTTGCTGTCGCTCCGTAAAGCGCGGCGACACCGGGCAAAGCATTCGTGGGTGTTACTGTCATGTTCCACGGCGTTGGCCCGTGTTTTGTGCGACCTATTGTCATGAAGCGTACGTAGCATCAAGTCCAAATTCCCACTTCCCCACATACACGTTGCGCGAATCCCCGACATCACTCAGCTCGGACGTTAGCCATCAAGAAGAGAGACCTGGCTGTCCGGGAAACAACGTTTTCCGCGACATCGTCAAGCATGCATGCTCGCTACATAAGTAGCGGAGCTTGGTACGTGTTCCGAAGGTCGACCAACCATCGAATGAATGCTCTGGGCAAAATTGATGTTGTGTCATCCAAAATCTGCGAACGATCAAGCCCTTCCTCGTGCTCCACGTCCCTTTGTCTTACGACGGAACGTCATTCATGCGAGAGAGCAAGGGGACGTGCATGACGAGATTCATTCCATCACCTGCGAATGAACCTTGTGAAACACCGAAGATTCTCTCTCGAGAATGCAAGGAGGGCCCGAAGATGATTGGTGTTACGTACCCCGAATTGATGGCGGGAAGCGAGCGGAAGTGCCTTGCTACGCCTGTCGCGTGGCGGCTGACCTCGACTCTTGGTTTACTTGACTCTGGGACAGTTGTAGGTTATGTATGTGCATGAAATGACAACACCACTGCGAACGGTGAACAATGACTTGTACGAACGTCCACAGAATGCTGGTCGATTTCCGTTGGGTTTTATCTCAGCAAGATGAAACAGTGAGCAGATGCAGTGACGCGGTCTTTGCTTGGTTGAACTAAGAGCTGTAGGCGGGGATGACTTTATTGAATATTCTATCGGAACCGCATCAGTTTTTCGTTTACCGGTTTAAGAGTATGCACCCTGGCCGAACCGCATTACAGTGAACCTTGCGGTTTTCTTGGCCTCTATGCCAGTTCGATATGAAACACTATTCGGCGGATATGTCGTACACCTTCGTGACTCTAGGTTCCAGGTTCAACTATAGCTCAGGAGCGCAGGCTCGCAGTTTTGCAGTGAAGAGCGCAGAGTGAGTGCAAACAACAACGGGCGGAAAGTGATTGCTGCGCCCTCCTCCCGGTGGGCAACGAGGGCAAGCACCACAGGAGGGAAGGTAGATAATGCTCTCGTGTAACCACGGTTCGTCGTGATGACTGGACAACATGGTCAGGGAGTACCAAACTTCGACGATATTAGCACCCTTCTCGAGATAAAAAATAACATTCAGCACGCACCGCAGCAGGGAGGTGGGGCACGAAAAAAAAAGAAAAAGGAGAAGAGAAAGCCCCGCCTCCTGTGTGACCCGGGATGGTTGTATACGTATGCATGCATAGCTTATGCAGCTGTACGGAAAATAGTAGAACTCAATGCATACACACACAGTCAGTGTGTGTACAGTACACGAAAAAATAGGGGACTGTCGAAAACGGACACACAAACGACAGGCAAGCGCCGTCGATGTCAATGCTACAGAAGCACAGTTGCACACGTCGTGTGCGTTCACCGGCGCGTTATTGCACGATTGTTTCACGCGGTAGTTGAGGGATGAGACACGACGGAAATATATTCCCCCGAGATTCCCCCGAGATATTTTCCTAGCGTGTGCATCAAAACCAATCATATACACTATCGTTATTCGTGCCCATGGGTACCCATGGGTACCCGTGGGTACCCACGCCCCATGGGAACCCATGGGTACCCATGGGTACCCATGGGCACACACGGCCACCAACGGCCCACGGAGGACCGTAATGGCCTTCACCTCCACGGGGATGGATCACAACGGGTAACAAGATTAAGCGTACTCTATAACATCGATTAGGCGGGGTCGACGAAGGCGCGGCCGCAGCGAGGTGGTACACCCAAGGTTCCGTGGGAGGCTCACAGCACAGCAGTTGGTGAGTCCAGCATTATTCCAGCTCGGCGCAAGAATGTAAAGAAAGAAAGGATACAACTGAACTGGCTTGGTGTAGGCGTGGAGGAAAGCGCGTCAGTGTGGCCTCACCCAGATCCACGGCGCTAGGCTCACCCAGGTCCACGGCGCGACGCTGAGGGCGTAGTCGCATCTCCCGTGTTTCGTACAGTGCACGCGCACGCCGAGGCCTTGGGCACGTCTCTTCATCATACTGACTTGTTTCAGATTTAAACGGTACGGTGGGTTTAGTTGTTTTCAAAGCTCCAAGACATGTCGTCTTTCCTTCGTCAGGACGAATAGGTCCCTTGGTGATCATCCCGAATTCCCGTCGGCACCCGTAGGGTGCTACACCACCGATACCAACGGATCGCTACCCACGGTTATCACCAACGGGTGCCTGTGGCTACCCACGGTGACGACCATGGGCTAGCGTTAGGCATCAGTTTGGGTGCCCATGGGTCACCATGTGTGTGGCCATGAGTCACCATGGGCACCCATAGGCATTGCCCGTGGTAACCCATGGGTACCCATGGGCATTGTCTGTGGGAACCCATGGGTACCCATGGGCATTGCCTGTGGGAACCCATGGGTACCCATGGGTACACATGGGTACCCATGGGCATGCCCATGGGTGCCCATGGGTAACCATGGGTATACCCATGGGTTCCCATGGGTACCCATGGGCATTGTCTGTTGGAACCCATGGGTACCTATGAGCATTGTCTGTGGGAACCCATGGGTACCCATGGGCATTGCCCATGGTGAACGTGGGTACCCACGGGGTAATATCACTTGGTTATGTATGGATTGGGTACCCATGGGTACCCATGGGCATTGCCTATGGTGCACGTGGGTACCCACCGTGTAATTTCACTTGGTTATGGGCCAATGTATCAAACATCTGCACCGAGACACAGAAATTAACGGAGAACCCCGACGCAATGAAGAGGGCCGCGGGGCGGGAAAGCTTCGGGTATGGTTTGAAACCCTTTTGTCACCTGAACGGGCACGCACGAATGCGTGTATACTACCTCGGGGAGAGATAAAGTAAGGAACAGAACGTCAATTGGCAATGCGGGTTCGCTTCGGCGACGATATGAAACCCGGTATGTATGTCGTGACCATCTCGTGTCCACGTGGTTGAAACCCCCTTACGCTTCTTGGGGCGGGGTCGCTTCTGCCACGACCTGAATCCCTTACCCCTTGCTGTATATGCCCCATATTCGGCACTATTTGGCTCGGTCCTGAAGAACCACGAAGGAAATACTAACATACGTAATGACGCCACAAAAAGACGATGTTGTGAAAAATATATGAAGCCAAACACAGCACCATAGAAAATCCACGCTCGACACCTTCACGACGAACTCCGCGTGGGACATTGTAAAATATCGTCGTTACGCTGTGTACGACGCAACAAGGAAAAAAGATGTCGTCGGAACCAAGATATCGACAAGAAGTCGGAACCACGATGTTGACATACACACGGCACATATCGTCCCGAGAACAGAGACAACACTCCCGCCAGGAAGGAAACCCATACCGGGAAACGTTGGCAATTTTCAATGTCAACCGTGCAATGGGACAAAAAAAACAACGACAACAACGTCAACCCATTCTAGTAAACCCACTCTAGGAAAAACGTCGCCGATCAAAGTGACATGACGCAGCTAGATAAGAGGAAGCAACCTAAACGGCTCGAATGTACGTAAAGCAGCCCCATTAGGTAGCGCGAATGGTGTAACCATAACCAAGTGCATCCTTCAGCCCATCACTCCAGGACATCTGTGCGGGTGGGATTCCTCTCTGCTAGGTAGAGAGCACCAGGGAACTCGGATCGGTAGGAATGTTGGCCCGCTCTCGACACACCGTAGGAGGACGAAAAAGATGGCAGCGGGAGCTGTACGGTGCCTGACGTCTACAACCTGCCGTTCCGGATGTATGTGTTGTACGTGCTTCACTAACGGTCAAAGGTCGGGTGCTGGGACAACAGCTTTTTGGTGAGCAGGAGCTCGTTCTTGAAGCAGATGTTTTTGTCCAAGACGAAACGGTTCAGCACCATTGGCATGCGCATGAGGACATGTCGAAACCCTGGTCAACAAGAGAGGCATGCGCTTCAGAACAGGTGTGGGTAGTTAACGTAGTTGGAGGTACTTAGCCTTAATGGATGAAACAACACGGACTACGAGTGAGACAGCGAGGAAAATACATCAACGGGGGTCTGTAATGACGGTGTTAACCAGAAACTGGTATTGGTTCGACGCAGGGTGTATCTGACGCACGGCTTAGCCACCCGTTGTTGGACTCGGCGATGGAGGAGTTCCAGCAGAACTCGGGTGGGTCTTGCTGCAAGTTTCACAGAAGAGGGTTGTTGTAGTCGTTTGGGTTGTTGAGGATAGAGCACGCAAGCTCCGTATGGCCCCGATAATGGAACCTGCCGGCGTCCATAGTAACGATATGCGCACAACGCGGGTATTGGGTACGGCCGGGGTATGTTGTACTGAATT